TTCAGAACTCCCCAGTTTAAAATATGAACTATTCTTTTCTACCCTTCTGAAATACCTGAAGTTAAAATCAGGAGAATCTTGAAATCATTACCGTATGTAATCAGTGAGGTGCATTCTGACCAAATCATGTCTCTACAACAATCACACGAAGAGCGATACTGCTGTTGGATAAAGACGTTGAGTTAGACAGTCAAATTCGAGACGTTGTTCTGTCAGTGGAAGTAAAGAAACTGCACCTCCAAAAACTTTGCACGGCCTTCCTTCCAAGCAAATAGTTTGAGTGTTGATAATAAAATCAGAACATACCTGTGTACATGCAGCCTCTAATGCAATATGACAGTAATAACAGCACTTTTAATACTATATACTGAAAATTAAGCACTTAAGTGAGCAAAAACAATTACCATGCTGAAACAGATTGTTGCAATCACTGCGGTTGTGCTGTTTCAGTTTCTTATGACTCCAGCTTAAACATTCATGGCTCTATCACAGCACTTGCTGTGTTGAGTATCAAAATGCACAACATGCTGTAAAGGAAGGTGTGGATATGATGAATGATCATTTTGACAAATATTGGACCTTTTTGGTGCAAAAAACTTTGCACACTTTATAAACTAACCTCGAGAAAAATCTGAAACTGCATTTCATGACTGCTTAAATGTTAATGTTGCATTTATTTATAATTAACTTTTCATTAACTCACCCTCGTTTGGGAAACCTTGCATTATACAATAGAGCAGCATGCAAGACACATTTCACAAAGAATAAAGCCCAGAACAGCCTACAGATTGTACCGTTTAGGAAGGATCAGAATTGTGTAAACTACTTCCATTAATGTATTCAGTTACTAAAGCTCCTTGAGCTGTAAAAGTAAGAGCAAAGGCCAAAGTGGGCCAGGCCAAAGCTGATATCACTCCTCTTCTCTATACAGAAACAAGTCTAAGGACTGTAAACCGTTTGGTAAGGACAGGGCTTCTCACGAATCACGGTATGTCTCACGTAATGACATCAAGCAGTAGAGGCCATGTTTCAAACATGCAGTGATACTGTTCATCTCCAGAGCTATGTGAATGTGTCCAAAAGGGATAATACTCAATTTAATTTAGCCCTATTTCATATTTAGTGTTGCTGAAAAAATATGTATTGCTTTAACTAAAATAATTTACATCTGCAGGAGCCTTTATATTTTCATAATTTAATCACAACAAACTTATTGTAACTGTACAGTTTCTTTTTGTACACAAAATGTAATATATTAGACAGCCTGTTGTTTTCGCATTTTGTAGCTAGTCAACTGCAACCTTCTGCCCTTTGAATCTGTATCTTAAAGAGATGTGCAAGCCTGATGCATCTCATCCATCATTCAGAAACACTAAACCAGTGCGATCTTTAACTCTAGCAAACAAATGGCGCATTTAGAGCAACAGCACTCATAAATGAACCAAATGCATCCACTTCAAATCATATTGTAATTATTTACGGATCTATTTCAAATGAACAAATTAAAAACAACATGTGCAGCAAGTTAATCAAACAATGAAGCTGAGTAAGACAAACTCACTGAAGCACATGGCTGAATATTTCATCCATTAATCCTAGAGGATGAATACAGAAAGTTATCACAGACTAACATCAGAGAAAACTGCTGAGGCTTAAAGGTACACCTTTCTCATTTGATTCACTGTCACCACACACTTTAACCGTTAAACAAACAGCCAACTAAACAGAACAAGGAAACGCTGCTTACTTACAAGTACACACTCACACATATGCAGTCAAGACAGTAATTCCCAGAGGTGGCGGTGATAGTATTATACAGCATTCAGACTGAGCATCCAAACTCTCAGCATGCTCTTCAAATTCCTACACACACACACACACACACAAACAGAGAGAGAGAGAGAGAGAGCGAGAGAGAGATTCTGAAAACATGCACTCCTGCAAAGCACTAAATGGGATCCAGTAAGGAGTATGTCGTCAAAGCCCCTCACTGGGATAGGAGATTCTGAAAACCGGCACTCCTGCAAAGCACTAAATGGGATCCAGTAAGGAGTATGTCGTCAAAGCCCCTCACTGGGATAGGAGATTCTGAAAACCGGCACTCCTGCAAAGCACTAAATGGGATCCAGTAAGGAGTATGTCGTCAAAGCCCCTCACTGGGATAGGAGATTCTGAAAACCGGCACTCCTGCAAAGCACTAAATGGGATCCAGTAAGGAGTATGTCGTCAAAGCCCCTCACTGGGATAGGAGGTTCACTAAACCTTTGACAAAGATTCAAATAAAGCCTGATCTGCCAAGCTATTCACAAACCATTAAAGAATAGTCCGGAAAGTGCTGGAATTCTTGCCTACACAACTCAACGCATCAGAACAACCTTGACATGAAAACACAGCAGTCTGGAGAGACTTTGCCACTGAGCTATTTGACTGGAAAAACAAACCTTGAAATCATGTTTTCCTCCTATAATCATTCGTAAACAAAAGAGTGTGATTTGATGAGCAGTCAAGTAGGAACCTGCTTTGATTAGTGATAGTAGCATGCAGCGTGTCAACAGTGAAAATCCTCTTAGTATAAAGAAGACTGTTGTCTTAATTCCTAATGCTGTCTTATGGGGTCGGCAGATGAACGCCGATTGCATTGTGCTGAGACAAAACACAATTGCTTGTTGATAAAACACAGCATGTGTTGAAAGTCACAATCATATGAGACAATTTTTATGTTTATGCTCAATTTGATGACTAACGAGTGGAGTAGAATATTTTTTCTTTAGTGCTTTGTGTCATTTTGTGGTCTGTTTGGCCTGCCTATTGTACTTAATGCTTTCTACCACCATATGGCATGTAGAAAGTACAAACATAGCCTTAATAACAGAGTGAAGGACATACTCACTTTAATGTCTCCGTACATCTGAACACACATAATGAAACAACACATGATCCCAGACTGGGACATAAACACACAAAGCAAGCAAAGTGTAGACAATGGGCACAAAGTTCTATACGTTTTGCATATAATGTGTACACTGCAATGTAAACATTATACAGAAATGCACCTTAGAACTAGCAATGGTGACAAAAGTTGTTGGAATAACAAGGAGGGGAAACAATAATGAGATTGCTTTTCTACAACAGTTCAATAAACAAAAGGTTACTTATGTTTTAGCCACACAATTGCCAGTTACTTTGTTTTTGCGATGAAGATTGTTCACAGTGGAAATGTTGCATCACACATTGTAAATGATTCAGAGTTCTTTAACAAATTGGTTAAGTGAATGATTCAAATGATTCATTCATTTAGAATTTAACAATTGTAATACTTTTTAAACATTTTTATTTAACAAGTACACTTTAATTGAACAGTGATAGACAGACAGACAGACAGACAGACAGACAGACAGACTATATTGTACCAGGACACTGCTTCTGAATTCCAAAGATTTGTCAACTTCAACATGTTCATAGCACGCCAGTGTCACTCCAAACAAAACCCCAGCCTGCTGTGACAGCTGCCTTCTGACCTTTGTCTGGAGCAAACATACTCATTCATTCATCATGATTCACGATACTACAAATGTAACTCATTATCTTTACACCGGAGGTTTTACAACATCATTAAAATATTTAAACAACACTAACAAAGCTTTAAAAATGCCAGAGAGGGGGTAAAGACAATCGACAACTAAGCCCTGACACAGAAACATTCATTCATTAGATGTCACAACATAACAGCACCTGTAATTAGAAGCAGGTATGTCGGCCCACAGATGACCTGTATGTAAGTCTTACAACCGCATTGTTAGAGTTACTTTAGGACACCTGTCACATATGAAATTTCTCAGAATTTTGTGAGATTCGTCATGTTGCGGTTATTCATGTTGGCGGGTTTTGCGTGTAAAAAGTTTGAAGTTTGTCACAACCCATACACACATTCCCACTCTCTCTCTCCCATTTTCTTTCTTTCTGTTTTTCACTACTATATATGAACAAGCTACAATTAAAAATGCACGCTACTGTTCAAAAGATTGGGGGCAGTTTTTTAAAGTGTTAAAGTTGATCAAAAATAGATTAAAACTGTAAGAATGTGAAATATTTTTACAATTTAAAATAACGGTTTTCTATTTGAATATATCTTAAAATGTAATTTATTCCTGTGATGCAAAGCTGGATTTTCAGCATCATTACACTAGTTTTCAGTGTCACATGATCCTTCAGAAATCATTCTAATATGCTGATTTTACAGCTTAAGAAACATGTTGAATAGAAAGTTCAAAAGAAGAGAATTCATTTGAAACTGAAATCTTTTGTAACATTATAAATGTCTTTACTGTCACTTTTTATCAATTTAATGCATTTTTGCTGAACAAAATTATTAATTATAATGTATTTATTTTAAATCGTACTGAACTTTTGAACGGTAGTACCATATATGAATGTCATTGCAATGCATATATATATATATATATATATATATATATATATATATATATGATATAAGCAAACTTATATTATATGATTTGCTAAAAAAAGGCTACTGTGTGAGGCTACTGTATGCACACAAATGCAAACAAATCAAAAGTAATTAGCAGACCTTACAGCTACTGTTCATCAGACGACAAAGCAAATCAGCCACGAATCCTGCATGTAGCTCAAACTTTACCTGCATTCCTTCTGAGACAGAGAGGTGTTGAAAGGCACACATGTGTGTATGTGCATGAACATGTGATTTGCATGTTGAAACATGCAAATGATTTCTATGTCAGCTTTCAAATGTTTTTTTGTTTACCTTTTACATTCTTTCCCCATTAGTATAATCAGCATGTGCTTGTTTGCTTCCAAAATTCCAAAGTTACATTGACATACCATAAGTTTTATAGCACACTTTTAATATAAAAGGAAGAAATTACACCAAAAGTGACACTTTCTGTATAGTAAGCAGTAAAATACAGTAAAATAACACTTCCACGAAATGCACAAAATGCAAAACAGACAGATCCACTTACCTTTGATATCCTCGCCCTCTCACGCTGTTGTTCCTCTGACCTGCACTAATACAGTCAGACCAAACAAGCATGAACTCCACTCGCTGGAGCCCAAACACTCATATGCAGAATGATAAACCTCTGACAGCTCACGGAAAGCTGGAACCAGTAATACCAGAAGAAGGGAGGTGACTCCAAGGCTAAACAAACACAGAGACATGGCAAGTCAATGGGAAGCGTGTGGCTACCTATCCTGTTTCTAGAAAACCCATTTCAAAAGAATACCATTGAATCATGATAAGCTTTAGTGGCTTAAATAATAGGGCAGCATTTGGAATACAAGTCCATTTCATTCAATTTAATTCAGTCTGTCATGATAATGTCACGGAATCAGGTGTGTGGAGGCAGGCAGGACGACGAGGACGACAAGGATTCCAATAATGACATTTATTGTAGACACAACAAGGCAGGTTCAGGTAGGTGGGACACACACTCGGGGTAACATTAACAATAACCGACACCAATGCTCAGACAGACAGGAACTAATATGGGGAGAATAATTAGAGGCAGACAGGGGAGCACAATGACGGTGATTAACTAATGATTAGACGGGCTAAACCAACACAAAGGGAAGAAACCACAACAAACAGTCCACAGGGGCGTTACAGATAACCAATGAGACTTTATTCAAAGTCATTAATGGCTCTCTTCGTCTTACAATGGAGTGAATGTTTTAAATATCGGGATAGGAGAACAGAAATCCCAGTTGCATGAGGTGTGTCCCATTATCCCATCAATTTGCTAAATCCATTCATAATGAAACATTTTCCAGATGTTAGGCTCACTAATCTACTCGCTCTCCCTCCAAATATAATAATATTGCAGAGATCACAACAAAATAAATATATAAATAAATAAATAATTAATGAAAGTTATGTAAGATTACAGAAATATTTAACTATTTTTATTCAACTTTAGTATAAAAATATATTAAAAGTAATTAATTATGAATATATTTAAATCATTCAGTTAAGTTTATTTGTATTATTGTATTGGGAAATAGTTGTTAGAAGTTAAAATAATTGTGAAATTTATGCCTAACATAAAATGGGAAGAAAAAAGTAGCAAGTTCCACTGCAAGCTGGAACTTGCGAAACTCACATGAGCATGACAGCAGAATGCATCTTAATCATATGAATGGAAAAACAAAATGCAAATGCCAACATGGTTGAGTGCCATTTATTCATTCATTCATACTCATAAACTATGAACAAAACAATGCCAGATAACAGAAGACATGACCCATGATCTTACAGTAAATGCAGGTCATACAAAATTATAGGGTTAACAATATAAATAATAACAATCTTAATCCAAAAACCAAATAAAGATCTTATATTTCATAACATTTAATAAAAGAAATGTCTATGTTTTATTTTAAGGACATTTTTGTTAACTTTTTCTACAATAAACCATTTACTAGTACTGTGTTTGGTCACCAATTTGTGTCCGATTGTAATCTGGATACTAAAGCAAAACTATTTAAAAAACGCTATGCTACATCACAGTTCCAACAGCACAATTAAAACTGCCTGTAATGGTCTGTATTACTTTGCTATATTAGTTTGTGTGCTATTTCTCCCGAATGGCCAGACCTGCTACCATTTTCACACAGCTTTCCGTACACATACAATTTAGTCAACACAGCATTTTTAATACTAAGTGCAAAATTCTGTAAATTGCAACATTTCTATTAGCAAGCAGTCATTTAGGATGGCAGGATGGAGAGAGATGATGGGGATGAGAAAGAGGGAGAGAGGAGGGGATGGAGCTCTTAATCTGTGCCTCACAGCAATGCAGTGAAAGTTTGGAAGTATCTGGGACAGACAGGAAGAGAGTGACGGAACATTCCATTCATCTCGCTACCATTCAGAAACGTGCTGGGCTGTCAGCATTCCTGCACAGCACCTTGTCTGCTTTAATCATTTTAATAATACACAGCCAGAGAAGAGAAGACTCTCTTATGCAACTACCGTCACATTTCCATACTATTGTACGCAGGGCCGTCCTTAGCTGATGCGGGGCCCGGTGCAAGGTAGGGAGCAGGGCCCCCCTCAGTCCTTTCGCGATCGCGTCCTGATTCACCGCGGGGCCCCCTTAAAGAACGGGGCCCGGTGCGACCGCACCAGTTGCACCCCGCTAAGGACGGCCCTGATTGTACGCAAGTCCACATTAAGATGATGCAGAGATATTGTAATCTCAGTCTTAGTATAGAAAAAAAGACACCTGAAAATGAGATACTAACCTGAGGTTACTACCCTGATTTTGATCATCATAGTCAAATGATGTTAGTTCATGAAATGTATTGTAATATAAAAACCTTACTGCAAAATATGTGTAATTCATTGATATTATAGACCTTATAGACCTATAGACTAGACCAAACAAGAAAATGCACAAAAACTAAGTTTTGCTTTAAGAGATTTGGAAGGACTAATTAAAGGAATAGTTCACCCCAAAAAATAAAGATTGCTTCTGGACAAAAATATGAGTCCATAATACATAATAATGCTTCCTAGTGGAAAAAGTCCATGCCCTGTTGTCCTCTCACATCAAAATCCACCAACATATTTGTTTAGAACTGACCTGCATTAGCTTTTAAATGGTGCTTGATCTGTGCATATTTCTCTCCTAATTCAGACGAGATGACTTTTTCACTGGAGAAAGCAATAACATGGATAGAGGTTAAAAACATCTTAATGCTGGATGTGTTTATTACAAACATGCAGATTTTAGCTTTACAAGACATTAACTGATGGACTGCAGTCGTGTGGATTACTGTAAATGTAGATTATTGTGATGTTTTTATCAGCTGTTTGGACTCTCATTCTGACGGCACCCATTCACTGCAGAGAATCCACTTGTGAGCAAGTGATGCAATGCTAAATTTCTCCAAATCTGTTCTGATGAAGAAACAAACACATCTACATCTTGGATGGCCTGAGAGTAGACTTGTGCCGGTATTCGGTAATGCGATATATCCATATATTCTTGTGCCGGTATTCGGTGTATTCGGTAATGGGATATATCCATATATTCATATATATATATGAATATGCACGATATTGTTATCTTGGACAATTCTAAATACCGTGAATAATTATATATTACAAATTATTCCGAATTTATTTTACATTTTAGAGAAGTCAAGTTGTGATACTGAACAGGACCTCATGGTAATGTCAAAAAGACCCTAAACCAACCGACGGCTGACTGCATACATCTACTACAGTACACGGATCCATTCAGAATAACTAAACAGTAGGGCTGCACGATATATCGAAATTATCGAAATATCGCAAATGTAAATATCGCAATATGCATATCGCAAGGGCGTGCGATATTTGAATCATTTTAATAATAGGCTACTTAAATCAAAACGTTGCAAAAGGTCAAAGTTTTAGTTCGATGCATCTAGCAGAGAATTGCTTGACGTTAAAAAGAGTTAAGTGCAATAAGTTGCAGAAAACAACTCTTTGCCGTCTCGTCTTGCTGTCTGACAGACTCACACCTGAAGTGCGCACACAAGCTGCATCTCGCACAACATATCTTCCATTCTGCCGCACATGTGCAAAGCGCGTGCACACACAGAGAGACGCGTTTCAGACGGCGCGCGAACACCGAGTTGATTCGTCTTTTGCATCTCCTCATTTTTTAACAGACACATACACACAGAATTATGTCAATAGTACCCGTCTCGACGATCATTCTCGTAAACGCAGTCGGTTATGTTTTAAATGAATGTAAACAGCTGAGAAAGAAATCGGATGTTTATCATTATACTGGATCCATGCAGTTGGTTTTAAAGGGACAGCAGCCTATAAATACGTGCTGCTGAATATGTCACTAATGTT